TTACTCTTTTAATTGAACAACTTTTACAATAGGGTTGTCACGGTAACCGGTATAGCGGTAAACCCCGGTAAAAAAGTTGACAATAAAAATAACCGTCCAGTTTTAAAAAAACTATATTATCTCGGTGGGTTTACCGTGGCCGCGGTTTCGGCGCGATGACCCTTACCAGCCACCGTCGCTTCAGCTGAAGTTCCCGCGGCGCGCACACGCACTTTTTAATTTGCAACGGCACCAATACTTTGAAGCTGAAATAATGGCCGAAGGAGGAGCAGGCAGCGCCCAGGACATCCATCCGCCCTCAAAGAAGACTAAATCGGAAGTATGGGCATATTTTGGATTTCTGAAAAACGCTGAGGGACAGTTAATAGAAGACGGCTATCCCGTTTGCAGAACGTGCATGAAACAAGTGTCTGCAAAAGGCAGCAACTCTTCGAATCTAATGGCACATCTGAGTGACCATCACCCACGACTCCACAGCCAGTGCAAGGTAAGTTAACATTAGCATTTTAGCTTAAATGCATGACGTGAGGACTTTTGGCTGAGGGAGAATGCATCGAGTCACTATATACTGCAGCCGCAGCGTCCTCTGCCAGCATTTAAACCGTGTCACGGACACCCTGTTGCTGGATGAAGCATCTTATTTGTTGATGATGAAGAGAAATATACAATTAGTTCCTTGTCATTGATTTGTTTACTTATTCAATGCCATTTATACTTGAACATTTGGATTTGATTACATAGTGTAGTAGTTATTTTAGTAATTTGTTTAAAGTGGCTATTTATTTTAAATACATATTTTTTTAAGGTTGACTTCAAGTCAAGTGTGGACTGGAGTTTTAGATTTTCATTTTGATAATGAAGAAAACAAGTATATGAGAAAACAAGTGGTGTTTCTTTGATTTGTTTACATATTGTTTATGTTTCGAATGTTTGGATTTGTATAATTTAAACCTGCACTGACTACTGTAACATGTTCCAGAAAAAGAAGCTATTTGTTCCTTTACTTGTGAAAAGTTGCACTTTTGCTAAGGCTTTGTGTTATTTTAGGTTTAATAAACACTGTTAAACCTTTTCAAAACTATTTCTGTTTGTGTAGAACAGGACTATCAATGCTTTCTGAACATATGCAACACCGTTTAAAAAATACCGCGATAATACCGAAAACCGTGGTAATTTTGGTCACAATAACCGTGAGGTTAAATTTTCATACCGTGACAACCCTATTTTACACAACATACACAAATTGCCCTACTTCACACTGGAAGCATCAGCAGCGGAACGTCACCACTTCAAATAGATTCCATTATAGTCTATGGGATGATTCAAACTAGATGCGACGCAGAGACATTCAGGCGTTTCCCAGAAGCTGCACGCCGCGCTGCTAAAGGTAGGATCAGGTTCTACTTTTACCACGAGCCGCTTATGGGACATGAGAATTTCTGCAGTTAACATAGGACTAGACAGGAAATCATGTACATTTTCAGTGCAAAACCCCCCGTAATTTTCTAAATAAAAGACTAGCGTTGCGATTTCATATATATACGTGTGACTTAATGGCTTATTTACATTTTTCTTTCAGCATCATTCTAGAAGTGCAGTAGTGTGTTTCTCATGGCTTTAATCCTGGTAGTGGAGAGAAACATCATATGACATCAAACAGCAATATCAAACAGGATTTCCTTCTTTTTGGTTTAAAAGCAGATGGCATAAACTCGAGAGATTTTGCGATCCTGCGAGGCCTACAGCGACTGATGACATAATGCTCTTGTATGCGCTGCTGTCCATCTTGGGAAATCAAGTACCGAACTCGATGGTAACAAAACAAGGCACCATTTCATACCACATGAATTGGTCCTTGGTTGGTACCACGGAAATTGGGCGGTGCCTTAAAAAGTACAGAATACAGTACCGATCCCTAGGTTATACTTCAAACTCTTCATCTACTTCTCCTCTGACTCAAAATGTTAAACTGTAAAGTAGGGATGAGCCGGATACTCGTTTCAGACGAGTATCCGGTACGGATAAAGCATTTTTGACGAATACGAGCATGAAACGAGTAAAACGAGTCAATATCTGTAATCGTGCTGAAGGAAAATCCTCATTGGGTAACTGACTGTCTTCACGCTCTGTGATTGGCCAGTCACATAGAGTGCCCGCCCCCTCCCTACACACAAAACTGCAGCCGGCCGGGAGCGCAGTCCGTCCGTCCTGTTCATTCACGCACACACACAGACAGTAACGGATCTCGCTGTGATTGCTTCACTGTTTCTCACGTTTCTTCAGTTTTCCCTAGGTTTTCTTCAGCTCGCTTCTTTTTCAGTTGAATATTTAAAGTTACTTTTTTCGAAACTGACATGGTGCATTTGACAAGACAGAGCTGGCGTGCTGTTGTCACTACCTCCGCTCTGGTCGGGTTTTTTATTTTTTTGAACTCCCTCTCTCTCCATCTCCCCCTCGCTATCTCTCTATGTGTGCACACACACACACACACGCACGCACGCACGCACGCACGCACGCACGCACACACACACACACACACACACACACACACACACACACACACACACACACACACACACACACACACACACATTATTCAACATTGTTTTGTTTAACTTTGTGTGGGAAAATGCCAAGAACATTTAGAAAAAAATCAGTTTAATCAAATAAAATAAAAAATAAAAATAGTAATAAAGTTGTGTCTGGTTCTAGCATTTCATATTTCCTAGTTCCTACTAGGATGTAGATGTATTAATCCATGCACCTAAATATTAATGTTCTGATTTTATTGAAACACTTGTTCTGTAAAAGTTCCTTTACTATTGTGATCAAAAATATTTAATCTCAATTCTGAGGCTGCTCTGTAAATAGTTTTCAAACAAACAATAACACATAGCAACTTCTGATCAATCCATATCAATTTCAGACTTAAAACAATACATTGATGTAAACCACACCCACTTCTGGTTAAACCACGCCCACTTCCGGGTTATGCCACGCCCATTCCGAGTACACATACAGATAATTTAGTTGGTTGAACAGATACAGATACAGATACAGATAGTGGTGTACTCGCTCATCCCTACTGTAAAGCTTGGTTTATGCTTGACGCATTCACTTTCCGCTTGGTGATGCGGCTCGCGGATGGAACGCGCTTCACAACTCGCAGCGTTTATGGTTCGTGCGGCTCGTCTCTGTGGCGAGCCAATATTCTCCCAAACTGTAGAGGGCAGCATGGAGCTCTACGACATGCATCCAACACTACACCATAGTAGAAGTACAAATTACTGTTGTTTACAACACGGCATTCCAGCATTTTTAACAGCGTCCTCGTCTTTTCCGACAGTGCGAGCTATTTCTCTCCAAGAATTATTAACAACATGTTGTTCACGGTGATCTCCGAGAGCTGAAGCATACAAATGTCTGTATTTACGAACCTCTGCCATACTAGTTCTTGCCGGTCCACCATGTTTTTCCGCGTCCGACCGTCTGCGTGGTTAGAAATTTTCCTAGGTGCGCGTTGCGGAAATTTTGGGCCGTGCGGAGGCGCGTGGTTGTTAAAATGACGCAATTTCGCCGCGCGGAGCTGTGCGGACCTCGTGGACGCGTCAAGCATAAACCAACCTTTACAGATCCGAGGTTTAGTTTTTAGATTTTTTTGTTTGTTTGGCACAACTGGCCTAAGTTAAATTGAAGTAGTTGTCATTTTCAAGACAGATTAAGTTTAAAATTTAAAGCGCAAGTCACCACCTACCAGAGTCTTACTCTAATCCCATTTCCTGGTTGAAAAATGTAACAAATGCCTGGCAGACCGAGAGGGCGGAGCCACAAACAAATACACATACAGGCTCACAACGGCATTGTGACATCATAGGGTATGTCTTAGCCAATAGCGATGGCAGATTTAAATTCAAATGCAGTGCAGAGTTTTTACCTGAAGACGGTGCAACTCAGGACAGTTTTATACAGAATATTTTAATTTTAACTAAGATGCACTAAAGTGCCAAACTATCGACTACATGTGTCTACAGCACAATTAGACACTCATTTATATAGTTTATCAGAGGGAAAAAAGTTGATTTTGGGGTGACTTGCTCTTTAAGAATGCATGAAAGAAGAGAAGTGGTGATAGTTATCTAAAATTATTTAGTTTTTCTTTTTATTAGAAAGGGAGAGGCCTCACATATATTGGCATTGGTTAATATCGGTATTGGAAAGAGTTGGAAAGAATCAGACTATATCAGCATATCGATAAAAACGCAGATATAGAACATCCCTACAATACATTGATCTTGAAAATACCCAATATCTTTTAAGCAATCCTATAAGATTGCAAAATAATGTTTTTCTGCCATTTTCCTTGGTATCACAGTCATCACAGTTTCAATTTGCTCATGCTGTGCTAGCGGTTTGAAATTTTAGCCACACTCAGTGCAGATTGAATTATTCAGTGATTTGTTCTTATTCTGGCGAGGTCTGCTGGTTAATTTGTTTATCACAGCGCCTCATCTCCTGGCCTTCCTCCCGCAGCTCATGCATCCAGGCCAAAAAGACTCAATTCTGGCGAAGCCTGAGAGCTGGCTGATGCTCCTCTTTGAGGAGCCCCTCCTCCTCCTCTCCAAACATCCAAGACAAACAGCCAAAAAACTGGCTGCCCAGATGATATAGAAACACTTTATGGTGTAGCTCCGTCACTGCTGACGGTTTCTGCTGGAAATGTCATTGTAGCAGTTAGTTTGACACTCGCTACCATTACTCTGTTTGGTTATCTATTCTTGCCCTTCCATTCTATTGTTCTTACGAAGGTTTCTCCAGACTGGGCGTTCATGATGAACAACCGTCTCCTTTTTTACTAAGCCTCACAGTTTTGCAACTCAAATTCTCAAGCTGTCTCCCAGGGAACCCCTGCCCTCAGCAGCTGGGATATCCTAGACAAGCAATAGAACGTCAGTAGGGAAGGAAAAGCTGCCGTGGCCCCTGGAAACGACTGGTGTGCTCACCTTTCTTGTGACTGCAGGATCTAGATAACCTCTCAGCTTTTGGAGGTACGTGTGAGGTGGATTTTTCACCTGGAATCGCTCCTGTGAAACACAGAGAACAAAAAAACATGAGTAAAAAAAAGTGGAATGGGATTACAAAATAATAACACGCATGTTGCTTTGTTTCACACAAGATAAGTGGGGAAAAACCCTCACAAATGTTCCAGGAACGCCGACTGCAAATCTGATTAGACTTCAGGTTAATTAAACATTGGGAGTAATCCTGCCTTTGATGGGAACTGCACATCATCTTCGACTTGAAGTCACTTATAAAATAGCAACTTGTTTAATACACAACAGACCCTGAAAGAGGTGCCACACGTGGGTTTCGTTTTTAATCTCTGATGAAACGAAAGCAGTTACAGAATAAAGAAGTTGTTTTGTTCTAGCGTCACTAGAAACACAAATCAAATGTCACGAGGTGACGATTTCTCCTTTTATTAGCTGCAACACCAAAGCACCGTCAGGGCGTGTGAACAATTCACCCAGCCACAGACGACAGGTCACACTAGTGTTCTATAAACATCTACACAAGAGATTAATCTGGGATTTGGGTCGGTGTGTTGAGCGGTAAACGGTATTTGTATCAGGCTGAGCACGTCATAATGATCAGTACTCACACAGTATCGGAAAATAGGAGATTAAACTTTAATGTGTGGATTTAAAGCTTGTACTGAATGAGAGCTACACGGTGTTACGCTTGAGCATCAAAATGGCGATGTACGTGTGTCTGATAGTCACATCGCAGGTCCTGCTGCAGCGTGGTAGGCAAACAAACTCAATGTGTGGGAAATACAGAACCGTGCTGTTGGAAAATGCCGTCAAACCAAACCGCACCCATACGAGTCACGCTGAGTAGTGCTGTTGGGAAAGCGCTATAACTGGACCCTTGGGGAAGTAAAAAGAGATTGCTCTTTTCATTTGATGATATGGGACATTATTTACATGTCCGAGTGGTTTGCCAAACACGTTTACCATATCTACAGTTATGATTGGGTCAAGTCATGAAAAACTCATATTTGATCAGGAACATGGTTTTCCATCCGCTGTACGTAAAATGCCAATGGGTTCATTTTACATACATACATACATACATAAATACATACATACATAAACAAAAACATAAACATTCATTTTCAACAAGATGGCAGCATAGCTTAAAAGTGCTATTGAAGCCAAAAGTCACGTCTCTTTTTGATATTGCAATATTTACAGCAGGTATGAAAAAAATTGCTATGATATTTGTTTTCAGGCTTATGGGCTGAATCTTATCGGACAGGTTTAAGTTGCTTGTACTGTATATCTGACCATCAACAGATGTATCAGGGTGCACAACCCAAACACAGGACTAGGGGAGAAGATGCAACTTTTCTTTATTCAGAAACCAGAAAATATCTTCAGTTATTTGATTTCTGCCCGTTTTTTTCAAACATGGGCTCTCAAAGACGTTAAGTACACTAGGAAGTCACACAAAAACTGGTCTGTACTTGTATAGCGCCTTCTTAGGGTTATTCCTACCCCCTCCCCCCTCCCCCCCCTCCCCCAGTATACAGAAAGATCTTAAGGACATATTCACTTCATCTGGAGAGGTAAACAACCAAACTTCCTCGATGGGAATTGTGAGTGGTCGTTATGCACGATGACGCGTGTTTCTACATAAACAGGACTCAATCATAATGCAGAAGATCACATCCTGTAAAGGGTGTTTACCCTGTGCACACAGATACTAAGATGAGATCAGTAGCATCACATTCATCACTGCCAGAGAGTCTCCCTCACAAAAAAAGGAAAGACAAGCCCAACCAGCCATATCTCCCCATCCCCGCATATTTCTCTCCTCCTGCTCCCTCACATCATCACACAAACATGTACATAGGACCTTGGGGGGTGGACAAGCCAGGGAGTGCGGGTATGGACCCCATTTCCACATTCCTGTGGCAACCAGCCCCCCAATTTTATTTGCACCTTAGACACTTCCACTGACGACATTCCACGCAAACACACACTTAGGGCCTTGGGAGTGAGCACATCCAACGGCACTTGGCAGGGGTTTTTCTCAGCCTCCTCCCGAGTGCCGGTGCCCACTTCCAATTTTAAACTGCACTTAGACACCGAGGGCTGTGGGTGCAAGTGGGGTGGTGCGGTGGCATCAGCTAGCATAGGCCAGACAATGCCCGCACTGCCCGCTCACCACAGCCACGAATACACCTCATCAACACGCACCAAAACTGTATTGGAGCAGGCGGAGGGAGACTAGGGGTCTTAGCACACCTCTGTTGTTGCTTGGCTTCCTGGGGCTGGAGGCTAGGAGGGAGATCTGGCCATCTGGTTGGGGTCTGGGGTGGGGGTTGCTGTGCTCAGCATTGGGCGGGGGAGCCTGCTCATCGGTACCCCAGCAGAAAGGGTCAAACTCTGGGAACCGGTAATGGTTGTACTCCATGTGCAGCAGTACCAGGACCAGAGTGAATAGGGTGTGTATGGGGAGCATGAGTGGGTGTCCGGCGTGCATTTTTGTACGTCTTTGGTTGAATGTGTGAGCATGAGGGAGGGAGTGTGTGACTGTGTTTGTGTATGACTGTATATGTCAGGTGGGGCCTTTGACTCCTCCCCTCTCCTGGGACTTCTTTTGATGTTATAGATCTTCGTCTCCCCTCCCCCTGCCACACCTGGTGTGGGGTGCGGTGCCTTGGTCTGCCTGAGTGTTCGCGGCTCCCGGGTCAGGGGGTTTAAGATTTTTGGCTTCTTCCTGATCAATCCCGGTGGCTGCCTGGTGAGGTCTGGGTCCCTGGGCTCTGCTGGGTCCCCGGCGGGGGTGGTCGCCCCTGGGTCCCGGGTCGCTGGGTCCCGGGCTTGGCCAGCAAGGGGGTGGGAGGCTGCGGACGGGCCTGTGGGCTTCCCGCTGATATCTCCCGGGACTCTACCGGCTGCTGGTTGTGGCCTCCCAGGGCGATCCTCTGTGCCTCTCGAGGGGGGCAGGGGGGCTTTCTGGTTGCAGTTTCCTTGGGGCTCCTGTGTTCTGGGGCAGCGCCTAGATCTCTGGACTTGGAGCTCCCCCCGTCTCCTGCACATCTTTGGGGGCAGATCTGTGGTCCCTCACATTCTCTACTGGACGCTCCTATGGAGAAACCTTACAGAAACAAGCGCGTGTACACACACAGATGCTCACATGGTGCTCTCATAAGTATGGACTTGGGCACGTACAACACAGGTCTTAAGGCTATGGTGGGCACTTAATGCACTGTGATTTATTATCGTGCGACTGTTCAGTTAAACAATGCTGATTTTATATTTCTTCATCAAGCTGACGCAGTGAGAGCTTGCTCCTGTTGTATTGTTGTTGTGTCCCTTTTTTTTTGTTTTTAGCTTTTTTTTTTCTTCTTGTCTCTTTCTGCAGGTCTAGAAGCAGACTCTTGTTCATTATTGTTTATTTTTGTGGAACCCCCCCACCCCCTTCCCCCACCTTTTGTCTTTTCCTTTCTCTTTCACCTCTAACTCCGTGTCTGGTCGGAATTACAAGCATTCAAAAACAATAACAATAAAGTTTTATGTATCAGGCATGACATTAAAAGCAGACGCTTTGATGCTCCACCTGAGAGTAAATCTGTAAGGCTTGTCACCAGCATTCAGACATCAATTCTGTTTGCTTCACAGCCAGACAGGACATGGTAAAAAAAAAAAAGGAAAGACAAGATTGTTGCCAGGAAAGGGAGTCTCTCTAAGAAAACTCTGTCCAGCCTAATCGTTTCAAATTTTTGCTCGAGTCTTGCAAAAGAACACGTAGCTACCATGAAAATAAATCTGCATTTATGGAGTCTGATCAAACAATAGTGTGTTAGTGATGTGTTTTGGGTTAGAATAAGTAACATGCTGCTTGTAATCTGGATGTGATAACATTAGGATCGTCCTCCATTAGAGCTGAGGAAAATAATCAAATAATCGATGCATCAGGATACGGACAAACGATTCTGCATCGTAGAGGAGTACGCCATAATCGATCATAGTGGAATGTAGTTTTGTTTTTTTAACAGCGGCACCAGCGCAGCATCCTAATCTGTCAGAGTGAGAGTTCTCCACATTTACCAAGTGGTTCCACCTTAATGTGGTACTGCAGGGCTGAGCGCTAGAGTTGTAACCTGAGACCGAACTGGAACCGAATCAGCCCGACCGGTTCTGTTGGATTTGGGCCGTGAATTATGTTAATTGAGTGGGTAGTCACGCAGCGCGCTCCGCTCGCTCACACAGCAACAGAGAGAGAGAGCGCGAGAGAGAGAGAGAGCGAGAGAGAGAGAGAGAGAGGAGATGCTCCTCCAAACCGATGCTCCAAACACGGATTATTATTTTCATAATTTAATTATCATTTCTCCTGGAAGCGCTCAGTCAGACCAAGTGTTGTAATGTAGGGAGATCCGGTCTAGGGGAGGGGGTGGGGTCAATGACGGCGGCTGCAGCGTGATCGTCTGTCTCTTTAGGGACACGGAGAAGTTAAAAGGAGAGAGAAATAGAAGATAGAAGTTCTTGTTCCACTTTATTCTTTTGTTTCATGATGAAAAACTGATGTTAACATCAATTTAAAAAAACTGTGAGGAAGCTTTGGTCCATTTTAGGTTACAGGAGATCTTGTCTCCTATCTGCTCCTCCAGAGACAGCATGGACATGAGGGTTTCATGGTGAGGGTCACACAGGACAGGTTAGTGGAAAGGTTTGTAGTTAGCTGGTTAGTGAAGGAGATCCATCAGATGGGTAATTTAATCCTAATCCAGCCCACAACCTTCTGCTGGTGTTATTATCAGGAAGAATAAAACACACATCTTAAATATTATTGGACGTGTAGAATTTGTTTTATGTTTTTTTATTTTCTGCATCAAACAGAACTTGATTCATTCTCCAACATTTCAGAAATGAACCACTGGGTTCAAATAAAATAACAAACTAAGTCAAACATTTCATTTGGTGTTATTTCTGACACCCTTCAACTGTGGCATAAATATTTGACTCTAGAGCTGCTCAGAGACATTAAACACTCATATATGAACCCATTATGTATTTTATTATTACATTATGTGTCCTGTAGGTTTTCAGTACTTTTTCAGATTTTGTTAGGTTTTGCAAAGCGTGTTTTTCTCAGCCTGAGGCGTGGTGTTGAACGAGGAAACAGATTGTTTTACTTTGTTAAATCTTCTTAAATGTTTTGTCCTAACCTGTTGTGGATGGAGAGCTTTTGAGGGATGGCAGGTTGTATCTTTTGATAAAAAATAAATAAATAAATAACAAATCAATATGAAATAATCGTGATGCATCGTGACATCGAATCGATTTGAATCGTTGACCCAATAAACGTAATCGAATCAAAAGACAAGTGAAGATTCACGCCTCTATCCTCCATGTTTCAGAAATTTTCATGTCTCCTTCGACCCCTGGTGGGATCTACCTGTCACCTCACCTCTGCCTCTCTCCATCACTGTTGCCATGGTGACATTAAAAAAAATACCCGTAACCATGACACAGTAAATATCCAACTCCCTGGGCTATGTTCACTGTCTTCGCTTAAGAAGACAAAAGAAACAAGTGGAGAGAAAAATGTTAAAATTTTAATAATCTCTCTCTCACTTGTGCAGTTGATACCTTTCCATTTGAAAAGGAGACCAACAATTTACACTTAAAGAGTCTGAGAACTCCAGCACCCATGCAGTGAAGATCTCTGCTGGTCAGCAGCCCGATGTGCTCTCTTTGGCTCGGTTTCCTTCTGGGTCACCAACTATCAATGCAATCCGAGTGGGCGGTGGTTTTGATCTGGTTTCTGCTTTTCCTCCGAAGCTCAAGAAGGCAGAAAAACTCAGGCAGAAGAGCTGTGAGCCGAACTCTCAGACCACAGCTCGCTGCACAACATTCACCCTCTGTTATTTTCCTGATGCCAATAACAGGCCGAGTATTTTAACCGGAGAACTGATCTGCGCACCCTGCTGTGCCACTTAACCCACTGGATCAGGAAAGACACGATGGAGTTTAGAGATAGAGAGGCTCACGGGGAAAAACGCAACAGAGTTTTGTCTCAACAGGCACATTTCTTAATTATGTAGCAAAGATTAGTAAAGCCACACAATATCACACAAGATTCAGGCTCACCTGATCGCAGATCAGTTCCCATTTCTTCTCATTGTCGTACTGCCGCAGGAGTCGGGCCTTGTCTGGAGGAAGATTCATCGAGTTCTGAAAGAAAGAAAAATGTCAAGAGTTACTTTGCTGTGGATAATGAAACAGAGGTTAGAAAAAGCTGTACTGTGTGTTTTCTGGATTTTATCCAGTTATGTTATTTAACCAGCTAATTAACGGGTTTACTCTTCTCTAGTAGCTTTGGAGTTTCTACATCTTCTGAACATTTGTAATTACTGAAGATAAAAAAAAAAAGTGCTGAGTCACAGAACTGCAACAGATCAGTGTCCGGGCCATCGACATTAATATAGCACAAAGTGTGTTTGATAGCTTGGAGCACCACAATATGCAAACACAATCTTAACACAGCAATAGTCTGCTATTTGAAATTCAAATTACAATACTGGTATTATGCTGCAGGCATTTTCAGCTGATGGTAACAGGGTAACTGCAGGTTTAAGGGAGCCAAATTTAAGACTTTTTAAGACCTTTTTTAAGGCCACTTTGACCAAATTTAAGCTTTTTTTTTTTTAATTTAATTTCTGCTATAATTTTCAGCTATTGCCTGGAACCGGTGCTAACCACGTCGCGAACGTGGGATTAACCATCCATTTACCATTAAACTTGCACTTCCCCATGGCGCAAGCTTCCACTAGCTTATGTGCTAGTGGGAGCTTGTGCTCATCTAAAAATAACCCCCTTTCACAACCAACTGAATGTGAACGGTTCCGCTTATGCCAACATCATACACAAAAAATGCTGAACACTAACTAGAAATTCACGAAAATGTCATAGATATAAAATAATCTAGTTTATTGGGTCTTTGGTGATTTAAGACCTCTGGAAACCGTATTTAAGGATTATTTGTCATTTTGAAGGATTTTCAAGGCCTTAAATTTGGAAAAGTAAATTTAAGACTTTTTAAGGACCCGCGGATACCCTGGGTAATGTAGAAATTATTCTCTTGATGACAACAAGCATTTCAGATTTCTCAAGAAAAGGTCCTTCACAAATCATTAGTCATGTTTCCTCTGTAGGATTTCAGGGAAGTTCTGGGAAGGTGAAAGAGAAAATATGAAGACCTGGTCCTCTCAGCCGTTGGGTCTCCACACAAAATGAGATTGTTCATGAATTTGCCACAACGTCGGCATATTACGACTGTTTCAACAGCAAGTGATGTCACTGATCTGCATCTAAAGGTGTCTATGAACTTTAATAACATTAAAAGTTTTATTTTGTCAAAATATACCGTAATTAATCCATTCAGAGGACCGGGAAGAGTGACCGTGTGACTTAAAAAGCGATATTTGGCTTGGAAGCGTCTGGCCTGAGTGTTTTACATGAATTCAGTCTTAAAAATTACGAATCTTTTCTGGCATTTTGTGTCACAAATTATCCCATCATAACTCTTACTTCTTGCATTTCGTTTTTCCACATTCATGCACAAATAGGCAATTAATCTGGTCATAAAACACAGCTAGAACGCTGCCTTCTCTGACTTTTAGGGGTTAAAATGGATTTTAAAGACAAAAATCTGTGTGGTATTAAATATATGAATGAAAGAAGAGAAAGATTACAAACTGGAATTTGACACATGACATAGTGGTAAAATGGTTTTGAAGGTGATTTCCTAAAATAGATAAAAAGAGTTTTAGCTTTTATTTAAAAGGCACATCATTTGGAAATTATTTCCATTGCAATTAATCAGCGTTTAGTAGAAATAAAACAAGAAAATAAAAACCTATGCCTGTTTTTCCAACTACTTGATGCTTACAGGATATCTAGAAGGATTCACCTCACATCGGTAAAGGAGATGTTTCTCTTTGCTGTTCAGTAAGTTTATTTGCAACAGATCTAATGCAGTATTTGGTCCTCAGTCCTAAAATAGATATTGCACAACTTCTTTCTTCCCCCCTGCTTTACTTTAAGAGCTGCTTCTGCACAAACACCTCTGCAGCTGAGCAGAATGATAATCTTTCCAACACAAGCATGCAGAGACTAAAAATATAAGGAGAAGGGTTTGATTGGGGTAAAAAAGGGTTTACGGTTCTGGGTCATCTTTGGGGGGGAGAGAGAGAGGAAGAGGAATATCCTGAGATACGGCCCGTTTCCAAGCACAATTAAAACAAAGATGGAACCAATCAGAATCCAGAAATTCTTTTATAGAAACATTTTTGTTGCTGTTTGATACACCAGAGCGTGATGTTTTATTTTTCACCATTTCCTCTAACAGGATGGCGAGGCTATTGATCTGAACATTCATTTTCATTTTTAAAAGCTGTTTGTAAAAAGAAATCAATGCAGACGGCTGCTTGGGCGACACGGAGATGAGTTAGACTCACTTTACATTTTAGTAACAAACAGAAAAAACAAACAGAAAATGTGGCTTGGAGGCTTTTGTGCTAGTGAATGATGCCTTTTTGTTAACCATCACCTAACTGGATGTAGATATCAAATATATTTTTAATTTGTTTGGGAGCAAATATCAATCAAGTGATGTGAAGTTAAAGCTCGGTGTTTCTTCTACACAGGCTCGTCAATGAGACTCGGGCAGGAAATCAAATTAGCATTCAGCTAAAGCTGCAGGCCCACCATCGCTGTGATGACTGCGGGGAATTGGACATCCGACCAGCTCTATTGACTCCATCTGGCTGCTGACCCGATTACTAGACTCACTTTCCTCCCTAAACACATTAAGAAAACACCTGAGGAGACATCCACAACATGAACACAAGTTTACTAAATCACACTTCTGTTGCAGATCCTGATTGAAACCGGAGTAAAAGATCATGTTGCTTGTGAATTTCTACTTTGTTTTGTCTGGGTGTTGAGGTAATATTGACCCAGCAGGTCGGGTGGTTTGTTGAGTCACTGAGCTGTGGCCTTCCTGTTTGGTCAGACTCCAATCAAAGCAAAGAGACACTTCTACCAGCATTCATTTCAGCCTGATGCAAATCAACTGTGACAGCCACTCAGCTCGCTGGACTTTGGTTACCGCCGACGTGTGTGTGTGCATGTGTGCCATTAATGAAGGGTAGAGTTTGGCATTTTTTCCACCAACACCCAATGGTAGACCACCCCGAGGAACACGGACGCACACACACACACACACAGCCAATGGTAAATCCTCCAATAATTAAAGCCACAAGTAACCTGAGCCAAAACAGAAGAGTTAGACTCAGAACGGGGATTTACTGATCTAGTATTCTGGAAGCAATAACAGCCTGATACACAAATTAAAATGTCAATCATAAAGACAAAAAGTGGCCCAAGAAATACTAAATTATAATTAACCCAAAGATGACTTTTCAAATGTTTTAATTAGTTTTTTAAAGCTTATTACAATTGTTTTGCTACCAAAATGTCTCAAAATTAGCTACAACATTTTGAGACAATGGTAACAAAGATAGAAAATGTTTTCCTTTTAGTATAGCCGGTTTTTCCACTGGCTGTGGAAGCGCCGGATAACATCCACCAAAAGAAAGCAGTATGCAGCAATTAGCCACCATTATAGTAGACGAATAGGTTCCCACCTACTGCAAAGTCTAAAGTTTTGGAAGCGTTCCAGAAACATAGGGATGCGTTGCTTACACTTCGTCTATTTTTTTTAGTTCAGCTCAGTTTTCCAAGTTAAGAAACAAAAGTGGTTCACTAGATGGGGCTGTCACATGGAGGGACATGAACGCTGCCAACCTACACACTTCTTCTCATTTTTTTATTATCAAATTTATTGACATGAGAAAAATTATCACGATAAGAGGATAAGAGTGAGAAATTTCCATAACGATAAATTTTCGATTTATTGCCCAACCCTATGACACAATGAACTAAACAGTTGGTTTTGTGACAGGAGGAGTATCTCAGACTCTTGACTTAGTTTCCTAAGGCAAGGATAAATATGAAGACTAGATTCTAGATATGAAGACTTGATTAAGCGAGTGAGGAAGAACCCGACCTACACAGACCAGGTAGGAGAGTGCCGAAACATCTCTGCACTTGGTCACAGCCTTTGTTTTGTTGACACTTTAAACATGATCCTGATTTTCATCCTTAATTTTTTTTTTCAAATGATACGTTTAAGGTGATATCATAAAAACTGGTGCAACAGGCTTCTGGAACAAGTCTTAAAAAAGGTAAACATATGACATCATGAGCATGGTATGTGGTTTTGTTTCATTACCTTCTCAGCCCTGCCTGCAGAGTAAAATAGCTTTTCACACTTTAAAATGACCTTAATATCATTTTAAATCGTATTTATGTAAAAGGTAATCTCAATGTAACATGTAAAGGAGACGATAGTCACCTGACTTCATCCAGACAAAACAAGTCTGAAAAGAAGGAAAAATGGACTATATGGAACGGGACAATTAAAGCTTCCCGTGAAACGTCAGCTTTCAAAAACCTACATTCGTTTGGCCAACATGGTTTTTATCTCCAGAGCGACTTTTCTGTAATGTTTCTAAGGGGAAAATCCTTTTATTTAAAAAGAAAGAAAAAAAAAGAAAATGAAAAAGTGAAGAGCTGCACGTTTTTCGCACGACACGAATCCTGCAGCGCTTCATTAATCACTGCCAACCTTCTGGAGACCACAACATTCGTCTCAGCACACCAAGAGGGCCGCAAATACGCCACACGACTACACCAAAAAAATTCAGCAATCTGCTCAAATTTAACTTGCTATTCTATCACATCAGCTCCTGGTGCTCACAAAAACACATTAATGCCAATGTATCCTCTCATTAGCCGGCGTGAGTCATGAAGGGAGTAAGAATAGAACATCTCAAGGTCCTCCAGCTACCCATTACCTTCTAGGAGGTCTGCACGCCGGGTGCTCGGCTTTCCCAGAGCAGCTGGATGGAAAAGCAAACACACAGCTCACATGAAGGGCCCGCTTCAGCTGGTGATGCTGAGAAACGATGTAAACTATGTAGAATACTGAGAACGGACATGGTGATGAAATAAAATGTCCAGACTGCAGCTTAACCGTGTGTCTCTGAGTATTTACAACAGTGGTTCCCAAACTTATTTAGCCGCGCACCCCCTTCTATGTCCCGACC